GTGGAGAAAAGCATCGAATTCGTTCCTGTTCAGTCTTGTCAACCCAAGCGGTCTGCCACCAACAAAGATGCCTTTGAAAGCTGGACAAGAAGGATGTGCTATCTATTGGGATAGAGAAAAAGGACCAGTATTTGGAAGTGGCCACGATCTTTATATTCCCACTTCACCGAATTTCAACAACTGCTCAACTACCCTGAATGCCACCTACCAGTGTCCGGCCGGTCAGGATGCTACCACATTTTTAGCAGGAAATCAATACTTTACTGTCAGTGAAATGGAAGTCTTTGGGTTTGAGGAGTGTTGAGATGGTTACTTTCTGACTACGAAGAAGTACGATTACATCTTATTTTAATCTTAAAACAGCTCAGCAGTTGATTGTAGCTGTCCTTACAAAAGTAAAAGTCATTGAAGCCTCTTTGATGTTTTCAGTTTAATGGAAATCCAATACGGAACTCGTTAAAATCTTTTGGCTATGTTGGACTGTAATAGTTGTTAATATTCTTTCATGTTTTAAGTTGAAACGGGTTTAAGCTCGATCGCGTCAAATTAATGATCAAACTTTTTAATCAAACATTAGTTGGGCTAAATAGGTAAATACCCGTAATCCAATATTGTTCGTAATTTAAAATGCAGTATGAAAATGCTTGATTGGGTATTGCACGTATACGTTTTTGGTATACTAATGAGGTCCAATAAACTCTATATGATAATGATTGTTATATAGCTGAAGTTTAGGTCACGTGGCAATGGCTAAATAAACAATAGTCTCCATTTGGCGCGAAAATTTGCTCAGATATTTGTCCGCAGACATAACCTGTTCCGAGAAGCGAACACTTTTGCTTTGAGGAACAAATAATGTCCAAGGACAAATATGCGAGAACGTTTTCATGCCAAATGGAGGCTACTGTGTTTATTATCCTTTAAATATTTTTCGCAACACGCGCGGATTTAAAAACTGAGGAATATCCCCGGATATCCTCGGATATTCCCTAGTTTTAGCTGGGGAATATTTACTTGGTTCACCTGCCTTACTTTCTTCACTTGGTTGTCTCCATTCACTTGGTTCATTTGATTCACTTGGTTCACTTGATCCACTTGGTTCACCTGTCTGATCTTCTTTCCTTGGTTCTCGCCGTTCACTTGGTTCACCTGGCTGACATTGTTCACTCGCCGGGTACACTTGCTTCGCCTAGTTCAGTTGGTTCACTTGGTTCATGTGATTCTCCTCGTTCTCTTGATCGTCCTGGTTCTTTTGGCTTTCTTGGTTGATCTAGTACTCCACATTCTGCTTCCAGGCATTTCCCCCGGTTGGTTTATCTGGTTCGCTTAGTTCACCTGATTCACCAGGTTCACGTGTTTAAATCGCACACTTCTTTTGCACTCTCAAGGTTGCCCAAGTCCGTAGTGTCAAAGGGCGTTTCTTTCTGCAGGCACTGTGTCTAACCTTCCCGAGTTTCCATGTCATTTTGGCCACGAGGAGATGATGATCGCTTCCGACATCAGCTTCTCTTCTGACCCGGACATCGTTCAGATCATCGCTATTAATGATGATGTGGTCAATCTGACTCTTAGATGTCCTATCGGTAGTTGGTTTTTCGCTGGCCTTAGGTGTCCAACGGGGACACGACGAAAGTAAATGTAGTAGCTAGAGTACCCACTTTACGACAATTTGATTCGCAGAATCGAAGTCGCATAGCCTTTCACCATTGTCATTTATCGCTCCAGCCCTAAGTCTTCCCAGAATATTCCCTCTGTTTTCGTAGTCATTTCGTCTTTTGCTTTGAAGTCATCTAATAATATAACAGCCGCTTCCACGGACCTTGTCCAACGTGTTTCCTGATCTCCCAACAGGCGCGTTTTGTAGTTGTGCATCTCTATGATAGCCTGTGCAACTTCTCAGTGTGGTATGGCGCACGCACATACCAAAATTCAACACAGGTGGCTTCTTTGGTGTAAGGAAATTGGATATCGGGTTCGGAATAGTCGGCTGGCTTTCATTTACATCCGTCATACACGCAGGTATCTGGTCTATGTCTCTCCTTGAATCGTCGGTTGTAAATTTCCTTACTTCCGTTCCGCTGTGTTTCTCGGGATGGGGTTGCTAGTCCCAAGCCCAACCTCCAGTCTGGAGAGCTAGAGTGCTGTTTCGTCTGACTCCCTTTCCACTGGGCTCGATTTCCGCCGCTCTCTCGAGTCCGGTCTACGTTCCTGGGAGGAGCGCGGGCTCTCTCCCCGAACAGCGACTGGTAATCGAGCCTACCCATCCTTCATGCTAAGATCTTCCAGGAGTACAAACCTCGGCCTTGCCGTATTAACCTCGCTATCGCTCGGTCAATACGGCAAGGTCTCGGTTTGAGATTTTCCCGTAAAGACCTCACTCTCGGATAATAAATAGCTAGTGATTTTGAATATTCTAACTGTAAGTATTGTATTTGCATATTTGAAGTATTGTACTTGTAGACTAACGCAAGTCTAGGATGCACTGAAGTAAATTTTTTGCAAGAAAAGTTAACCGAGGTAAATAAAAAGTGTCAAAAGTGTGACTGTAAGTTAGAAAAAACTGTTGAGCAGCTCATGCGTGGCATTACTTTAATTAGTTTACCACAGTGAAAAAACATTAATATGTATCGTTTCCGATAATTAATTGATAATTCTGAGAATCAAAGTTCCGGGCAGTCAGGCAGAACGGCTGGAGTAGCTCGTCATTCTTGTTCCGAAGAAGAAAATAAGGCAGTCTGCTCGGCAAGGAAGCTCTCTCGAGAGTCAGCAACTTCATCAAAGAGGTCTTCGATATTCACTTTTTGAAAGACCAGACGAAGGAAGTTCGCGGGGAAATGGCTTTGGATGAGGTTGCACATCCGGAGTTGCTCAGAGACTCGAACACGTTCACTTCTCATTCGAAAATAGTGAAACTCAATATCGGCGGCCACCATTTCTCAACCAGTCTGGAAACCCTGACTAAGGATCCGGGTATGTTTTGATTTTGAAATCAATCTTTATTCTCATATCTACTTTAAAAAAATACTAGCGATTTTCTGACTGAGCACAGCTTATATTTCCGTGTTTATACCAGGTTCGATGTTGCACGCCATGTTTTCGGGAAGATTTGACACAAAGCCAAGCGAGGATGGATCTTACTTCATTGATCGTGATGGAACTCACTTCCGGTATATCCTGAATTATCTTCGCACTGGGCAGCTCCTTGTGCCTAAAGACGAGATGGTTCGAAGAGAACTTCTGACTGAGGCCGAATTTTATCGAGTTGAAGGAATAATTAATAACCTGAGAGCAGGATCCTTCAAAGAGTCATTAATCCTGTCACCAAATCAATGCCAAATCTTGATGAGCTGGTTGAAGGGCACTAGCGCGCTAAAGGTGGCCAACCTGTTCCCTTGCTTGTTATATCGCGCTTCGTGGAATGGCTGGGCTGCCTCCAGCTTTCACTCCTGTTGTGACGGGAAAGGACCGACTGTGACAGTGATCAAGAGTGGAAATTACATATTTGGAGGCTATACGGAGCAAGCATGGGAAAGTAGGTCCTGCTTTAACGTTCTTCGAGTACTGAATCTGCTGACTGTGATCTGCTTCCAGCCAATTTTTTCCGAAACTGTTGGAGAAAAAATGAAGCAATTGTGTCGTCAAATTAGCTGATTTTCCTACATTTTAGCGCCGAATGAAAGGGCTCTTTGTGTTACTGGACAACCATTCTCAAAACAGCTATGTACAGCACATGGTATTTTTACTGTGGGTAGGAATTTGTAATGGTGTTGTCTTAAACTGATTCGTTGGCCTTTTGGCAGACAGTGTTAGCGGTCTAAAACTTTGAAAAAAGCAAAGGGCTCATGAATATTTAAGCTGTACAGTTTACTAGATCGAAAGATAGAGCAGACATGGAAGCTGAAAACAGTTGAGTTGAAGTTGGATTCATAGTTTATTGAACAAGACAATGATTGAACATTTTAAACCGGTTATAAACTGCAGTTATTGCGGGGTTCCCTTTAAGGGTGAGGTTCGCCCATTTTCGTCCCCATGGCCCTTTTCGCTTCTCTTAGAGAAACAAAGGGCTCTGGGGACAAAGTATTTTCGAACTAATTCGAATTTTTTGATCGGCTGTTTGAAAACAAAGAAATCTTGAACGGAAGTCGCGCAAGTCGCAGAAAGGCATTTTTAAATGCCCGAATCGTTTATTTTGGTCAAAATAAACGATTCAGTTGCTCCAAGCCAGGAGTCAAAAACAAAGGGCAATAACTGAAAAATGGATGCCAAAGCCTGTCGGTAAAATAATTAGAGTGTCTTTCTTTACGACAAAAATGTTCCTTATCGCCTCTTTCTGTTCTACACGGAGAGGAACATACCTAACATTCTCCAACCTGAGACAGAGATTCCTCCAATCTTGCGGTACAGGAACTAGGCACAACCACTTCACGGCAAGGGTAAGGTATTTGATTCAGCCATCTGATTGGTAACAATTAATAGATCCTGGGACCCTTAAAAAACTGACCTGCCATTTTCATGGGTTTGCATTATGCATTACTTGAAATGCTGCTATTATGTTTTTAGGAATTCGACAAGAGCTCCTTGAGTTCTCTGCCATGTCCTTTTACCGCTTGTGGTGTTTTTGAAAGTATGGCTCTGCAGTTGATGTTTTTCTTGTAAGTGGTATGATTGAACAGAAATTTCTCTCTTTATTAGCTTCTGAAGGCGATTACAGAGAAGCACCAGGCTCATTCCTGTTCAGCCTTGTCAACCCAAGCGGTCTGCCACCAACAAAGATGCCTTTGATAGCTGGACGAGAAGGAAATGCTATCTATTGTGACTCTAGCTGTGGCCCAGCATTTGGACGTTCGCGTGATAACCCTTTTCCTACATTTGCTTTTACCTATAATTGTACGCAGTATTCAACATCTGAATATCATCATGATCTCAAAATTTCTAGTTTACCACATTCCTCTCCATGCTCTGTACGTTTGAATGGGAGTTATCAGTGTCCGACCGGTCAGGATGCTACCACATTTTTAACAGGAAGCGAATTATTTACTGTCAGTGAGATGGAAGTTTTTGGATTTGAATAGTACCCATAGTACCTGTAATGAAAATCTTTAGTACTTTCTGACTGAGACGGATTAAAATCTTCGTAAATTTTTTTTAAGCAGTTGATCAGTAACCGTCGTAGCTCTTATTTTTGAAGTCGATGTACATGAAAGAGAATGAAGTGTTATGTATTATCTCTTGATTAAAATAAACGTCTGTGAAGCCACGTTCGGCAGCGTTTCCTATTATTGTAGACTAGCTAATACCAACTCCAGTTAATTAACTAGCTACGGTGGCTGGGAACAGTTGCTAGCAATTTTTCCAGGATATTTTTTGATGGATCAATACTATATACCAATCTTTTTCAGTTATCGCTGCATAATGGCATCAAACAAATACCCAAAGCCTGAAACATTCATCGACAAGTTAGCTGAAAAAGAGTAGAATAATTGCTGCGTTCAACAAGCCTTTTGTTTGGCGACGTTTATTTTCGTTGCCGTTGCCGTCGTGTTTTGTGTAAGGTTCCTAACGACTACAACGAAACTATATATATTGACGAAGCCAAGCAATAAGTGAATATGTATATTTTACCTTCGAATCGACGACACTCTTAAGTCATTTACTCAATATCGAACGAAGCGCTAAATTCGAAATGAAAATTAAAAAAATTACCTCCCACCACCTCCTCCCACACACACACACAAAAAAAAGCGTCGTGGTTAACATCCTCTAGACAACGCAGAAGCTGGTCATTTTACGTTGTTTGTTTCGCAGAGAACGGCGAAGAAATGTGCAAAGAATTATTATGCATGGTGCGCAGCCATTTCCGATTGCTTGTCTTTCGCGACTTGTTAGTTCACTTGGTGATTGGTTTACTATGGTACCGCGCCGAAAGAAGGACCCGAATAGTAAATAATTTTGTTCTTTGTTACGACAATGTTTTCAAAACTATATATACGCAAAGGGGCTAAGGTCTAAAACTCTAAATGTTAAAGTGGCCAATGCCCAAGACTATTGTGGTGGGTCACCGTGGAAAGTTTTCGAAACGTGAAATTTTATACTATACATATCATCCTTTTTAGATCGTGGAGAGGAAATCTATCACTGCACCTGACGTTCGCAATGGTGGAATAACATAATTCTGTCTTCAGAGAAGACATTAACTTACGATAATAACGAGAAAAGTGAAGAAAGAAGTCTTTTCGGCTGTTTCCAAGGTTATGGTTTTGTGAATTAAATCATTTCACCTTTCGCTGAAAGCAGAATCTGATTCGGACTGCCGGTCATGTTTTGGAAACCTTGAGGAGTGCACCATGTAGAACTTTTTTAAGTGTCACAACTCATGGCTTCATAATCTATGCTCAGCGTTACTGAGACCTTGGACTCATGTGAATCGCATAGTACTTCTTTATCGACATACATCATAGTTTGGATTGGCTATATAAGTTCTTTTTTATTTTCTAGAAGTAATTTATTCATTTCTAATTAACTTGGAAATTAGGATCACCGATCGGTCATTTAGTGTTTTGACGACCTAGACCGTTTGCCGGTTATTTGGCCACAGTGATTTTATTTTACTTTTATTTCTGAGTTATAGGTTTATAAAAGACCCATCAATAGCATCGCAGAAAAACCATGACTCGTAAGGCTTGCTTTGCGTAAAGACAAACAATAGACTGCAAGGCTGACACTACGTGAAGGAAGTATGACAAGAACCGATAAAGCAGCGTTTATCCGTATGCGGTCCCTTGCAGTTTCTGGTTTCTCGCTTTGTGAATCGATTTTGTAGTTACTATTTATACATCAAGACTTACATGTGAAAAAACGTTTATAATCGATTCTGCGTATTTTAAAAAGATTTTATGATTTTTTACCCTTTGAAAATTTTTCCCGTTACTCGGTTTCTCGTTGTTTAGTTACTCGTTACTTCTTTACTCGCTCCGCGTAACACACATGAATCTGATGAAGTTGCTGTCACGTGGTTTTTTCGCGTGACATGTAACGGGGCAAATAACCATGAATATATTCACTTTCGGAGTCGAATACAAAGACCACAGCTCAAGTAGCTCGCTATTCTTCTTTCTAAGAAGATGTCTTCATCGCGTGACTTAGAGGAAGCAGGCAGTCCACCCGGCGAAGAAGCTTTTGTGAAAGTCAATAATTACATCAAAGAAGTCTTCGAGATATTAAAGCACGAGACAACCAAAGTTCGCAAAGAAAGAGATGCTTTTGATGAGGTCGCAAAGAAGCTAGAGCATGTTCACTTCTCGAAATTGGTGAAACTCAATGTCGGCGGCCACCTTTTCTCAACCAGTCTGGAAACCGTGAATAAAGATCCAGGTATGTTTTGAAATAATAATCTTTATTCTGCAATGAAATACGATCGATTATCCGACTGAGTGTAGTTTCTGTTATCGTGTTTATCCCAGGTTCGATGTTGCACGCCATGTTTTCAGGAAGATTTGACACAAAGCCAGGCGAGGATGGATCTTACTTCATTGATCGCGACGGAACTCACTTCCGGTATATCTTGAATTATCTTCGCACAGGGCAGCTTATTGTGCCTCAAGACAAGACTGTTTGTAGGGAGCTTCTCGCTGAGGCCGAATTTTATCAAGTTGAAGGAATAATTAATGACCTGAGAGCAGGATCCTTTAAAGATTCATCAGTTCTGACATCAGATCAATGCCAAATCTTGATGAACTGGCTGGGGGACACCTGGGCCCCAAAAGAAGCTAACTTGTTCCCTTGCTTGTTATATCGTGCTTCGCGGAATGGCTGGGCTGCTAGCGACTTTCACGCTCGGTGTGACAACAGGGGACCAACGTTGACAGTGGTGAAGAGTGGAAACTGCACATTTGGAGGCTATACAGAGCAATCGTGGGCAGGTAGGTTTAACGCTTCATCTTAAAATTGCTAATGCTAGATGTTTGAGAATTACAACTAAAAAGAGAGGAATGGATGGATCGTAATAGAGTGAATCCTATGGAGTTCCATCCCCGCAAAAAATCAAAGTTCATCACAACATTCAGCTTGACAGTCTAACAATTAACTTGGCAAACATCAACATCATATTTCACTCTTCAACTTTGTACTTTATATCGCAATCATTGAAACTTTAAACATCAACTTTCAAAGTGACAGTTCAACGTTCAACTTCATCCATCAACATTCATGTTAACATGTCAACAATGATCTTGACACATGGGCTGTCAGCGAAAGATGAAGTTTGAATCTCCAAGTCGAATGTTGAGTCCCCAAAGGCGCACCAATCCCGCCAAAATTCAACTTGAGCATTCGACTTTCAAGTTGATAATTCAACATATATGGGTTATTGACCAAGTGTGAGGTCAAGATGGCTGGATATTGGCCAAGTTCTTTTTTTGCG